TCACAGAAGACAAGGAAGGTCACTACATAATGCTGAAAGGGTCAATAGAACAAGAGGACATAACAATAATAAATATCTATGCACCAAATGAAAGACCAGCAAAATACATAAAACAAACATTAACAAAACTGAAAAAGGAAATAGACAACACTACTATAGTGCTGGGAGACTTCAATACAACCCTTTCAAGAAAAGATAGAACTACCAGAGAAGTGTGGCATCAGGATTGGAGATAGAATCTTCAATAATCTATCTTATGCAGATGATACAACCCTGCTTGCTGAAACCGAGGAGGACCTGAAAAGCTTAGTGCAGAATGTCAAGGACTGCAGTCTTCAATATGGATTGAGGCTCAATACCAAGAAAACAAAGCTTCTCACCACTGGGCAGCATCATGATAGATGCTGAAGAAATTGAGATTGTTGTCAGCTTTTGTTTGCTTGACTCTAAAATCAACACTATTAGTGCCAGCATCCAGGAAATTAAAAGATGAATTGCACTGGGAAAAGTCTGCTGCCAGAGACCTCTCCAAAGTATTGAGGAGCAACGATGTCAGTCTGGAGACTAAGAAGAGCCTGATACATGCCATGGTCTTTGCCATTAGTGGCTATGCAACAGAAAGCTGGCCGATGACTAGGGATTATAGAAAAAAGAATTGATGTCTTTGAGCTGTGGTGCTGGAGAAGAGTACTGAATATACCATGGACTGCTAGAGAACAAATTCATCCTGGAGAGGACGAAGCCAGGCTGCTCCTTGGAGGCAAGGATTCTGAAGCTTCATCTGACATACTTTGGACATCTTGCAAGGCAGGATCAGTCCTTGGAGAGGGACGTTATGCTTGGAAGGGTGGAGGGACATAGCAGGACAGGAAGACCCTCAATGAGATGGATTGATTCTGTCACTAAGGTAATAGGGATAGGTGTGTCAGGGATACGGTTGGCAAGAGATAGCTCAGGGTTTAGAGCTGTTGTACATAGATAGGGTCGCTATGAGTTGCCAGTGACTTGATGGCACAAAGCAGCAACAATATTGTGATTTTAGTGAAAGTTTACAGAAAAGTTGAATTTTATTTCATTCATTATTGCATTTCCCCTACCTATCCCCCTAGTTCACTGGAAAAAAAAATTCATTGTTGTATAATTATCCTCTCCCCAGTCCACTTTGCTATGAACCTCTTATTATGGACTATTGTCATGCAGATAATGCAAATCATATATTCCTTTTGAACAGTTCTTTCCTTCATCTGGTCTAATGCAGTGTTTGTTATTTATCCCCTCTTTTTCTCAATTTCCCCTCAACTACCATGTCAACCTGGTTTTATAATAGTGATGTTACACAGTATTTGTCCTGTAGTGACTGAGATATCTCACACAGCATAATGTCCTTCAGGGTCTAGTTCCTTCTTTTTCAGTGCTGCCTAGTATTCCATTACGTGACTACACCATAGATTTTCTATCCATTCATTTGTAGATGGGTGTTTTGTGTGGGGGGGGTGTTGATGTGTGTTTTTGTTTGTTTGTTTGTTTTTTTAAATTCCACTTTGGGCAGCCTAGCTAAGTCTAGGTTGTTAAGTGAACAGAATCAGGAGATAAACGATTTAGGTTTCTCCAGCTCCCCACCAGAGGGAAGGGGTAAAGAAATTAGAAAATATCCAGTATGAAGACCTAAAACGATGGAGTAATAATAGGCATAAATTAATGGTGATTGATTTCATAAAACTCAATGTATGGGAATGATCATATGAAACACAATTTGAATGAAGGAATGTCTGAAATGAAATGTATACAAATTTTGTATTCTAAACATTATAAAAAAATAGGTTTCTCAAAAGGTTTGAACTGAAACTTCATCACATAAAATCGTATGCTACTTGTTTTTCTCTAAATTAATCAAGAGCACTGCACATCCCATGGATGGCCAAGAGAATGAAAAGATAGATCTATCTTGGAGAGGGTGCAGCTGGAGTGGTTTTTGGAGGCAAGGATCACTAAGCTTTGCTAGCATACTTTGGGCATGTTGCTTGGAGGGGCTATTTTAGAGAAGACATGATGTTGGGAAAGGTGAAGGGTCGGTGAAGAAGAGGAAGAGTCTCAACCAGGTAAATTGACACAGTGACTGCTGCAATGGTCTCTTGTGTGCCAGGAAGTGTGAGGATGGCGCAGGATAGAACAGGGTTCGATCTTTTGTTTACAGGGTTGCTATGACTCCTACTCAACTCTATGGCACCTAACAACAAAAACAACAGCAACAAATTCATCATGCTGTTGTTTGTTGTGTACTGTATGGTGTAGAGCCAATACTGATCCATTGCTCACCCTTCAGTGGGTTTTCAAAGGCATTTAATTACAAGGGAGGAGACCGTCCAATCTTCTCCCGCAGAGCAGCTGATGGCCTGGAACCGGAACTTTAGAGTTTACATAAAATTTTACATTTGCACTTAACACCTCTGTCCTGATTCAGTAAGAAGCTACTTTCCAGAAAGTTCTGTTTCTGTTGTGTATTTTTTTAAATTTGGTTAACAAAGATAAAAATTTAAGACAAATGAAATCTTCCCTTTCTTATCCCATGTATATGTTGTTTTCTTTCCTATTTTAATTGATTTGCTTACAAAGTTCATTTACATGCTGTTTTACACTACTCATTCATATTGTGGTTCATATGATCATGTATTGTTTTATGAAATGAATCACCATTGACCTTGCCTATCATTACCCTAGCTTTTCACCCAGATCTTTCTCATTTCCTTCTCCCCCTTTTAAACCCATTCCTTTTTGTTGTTGTTTATTCACTGACAGATGTATCACAGTCCTCTGACTATGTGTCCTTAGCAAATTGATTACAGAGGCCCTGTGACCTTCAAGTAAGTTCTAATTATTATTTTCTATGGGTGGATACACAAGCATTCTACAGCCTGAGAGACAACCAAACTACCTCTATAAGAGGATTAGAAAATTTCTTTGTATTATTCAACTGAAATGATAATAAAACATACCATAATTTTCAGTTTTTAAATCAGTAAGTGATGATTATACTTCCCAGGACATATCCATTAAAGTTTTACAAAGACATAATCTTTTCTTCTAAATAATGTTGACTCAAAGGAAAAGAACTGTAAATCAGTCTCAGGTACACTGGGGAAAAGCATTCCTGCTGGGAATCATGCCAACAATTAAAACTAGTGACTGATACTGAAAACAGAAAGAGCTTACAGAATTGGCTTGTTTCCGTGCTTGGTTTATCAGTTCTTTTATCTCTGAAATGTTTCTTTTCAGATGGTCTTCAAGTTCTTTGATAGGTTTGAGTTTATCTAGGAGACGATCAGCTTCTTGTTCTAGATTTTTTACAGTGGCATCAGCATCTGCAACTGTATGGAACAAAACACACACACACACACACACACACACACACACACACACAC